CCGGCGTGACCGAGGAAAGAGCGAATGTCCCGTACATTTGTGGGGTACGGGAGCGTTTGAATCACATCAATCTTTGCTTTGTCCACCTCGATCCCCTTTGATGAGATCACATGCCCAAGAACAATCCCTTGTTCTACCATGAAGTGACATTTTTCAGAGTTCAGCACAAGGTTGGATTCAATGCAACTTTTTAGCACAAGAGTGAGGTGATAGAGGCAAGAGTCAAAAGAGTCCCCATGGATTGTGAAATCATCCATAAAGACCTCCATGAATACCTCCAAAAATTCTGAAAATATGCTCATCATGCACCTTTGAAAGGTGCCCGGTGCATTGCATAATCCAAAGGGCATTCGTCGGTAGGCAAAAGTGACAAATGGACATGTGAAGGTTGTATTCTCTTGGTCCTCCGGGGCTATTGGTATTTGGAAATACCCGGAGTAACCATCGAGAAAACAATAGAACTTGTGCCCTGCTAACCTCTCTAGCAATTGATCAATGAAAGGCAATGGAAAGAAGTCTTTTCTAGTCACCAAATTGAGTCTTCGGTAGTCAATGCAAACTAGCCACCCGTTTTGAACTCGGGTGGGCACCATCTCACCATCCTTGTTTTCAATGACCGTTACTCCGGTCTTCTTTGGCACCACTTGAGTAGGACTCACCCACTTGCAATCGGAAATGGGAAATATGATTCCCATTTGAAGCAATTTGATCACCTCCTTTTTCACCACCTCCATCATGGGTGGGTTCAATCTTCGTTGTGGTTGTCTCACCGCTTTGGCCTCGTCTTCGAGCAAGATCCTGTGCATGCATGTGGATGGACTAATGCCTTTGATGTCGGCAATAGACCATCCAATGGCCAATTTATATTCCTTCAGGACCGCGATCAATCTTTCTTCTTGTTCGTGGGACAGGGCATTTGAAATAATCATCGGTAGGGTGTGATTTTCATCCAAGAACACATGCTTCATATTTTCAGGGAGTGGTTTTAATTCCACCTCCGGTGCCTGCAAAACAGATGGTAGCGGCTTCTCGCTTGGAATGGTTAGTGGGAGGGCTTTAGAGCCCGGTGGCAAAAGTGGGAGTTGATTTAACTCCGCCACCATAACCTTCATGTTATTCGACATAGAGTATTCCAATGTAAAATCCTCTATGTCGTTTTCAATTGAGCTTAGTACCTCATCCTTTCCCTCAATTTCAAATACATCTTGGACCCAAGTGTCGCAAGTGTCAATCACAAATAGAGAGTGATTATCAGTGGGGTATTTCATGGAGTCGTAGATATTAAATTCGACTTTTTCACCATCGAACTCCATGGTTAACACTCCACTAAAAACGTCAATTTTTGCCTTGGCCGTTTTCAAAAAAGGTCTGCCTAGTAAAATTGGGACTGCATTTTTATCGTTCTCCATTTCAAGAACGTAAAAATCAGCGGGAAAGATTAAATTATCTACCATGACGAGAACATCCTCTACCACACCTTTTGGGTAGGCATTGGATCTATCGGCAAGTTGGATAACGACCCCCGTCTCATGTAAAGGTCCTAGTTCTAGGGACTTATATAGAGAATATGGGATGACATTGATTGATGCACCCAAATCTAACATAGCCCTAGAAGAACTAGAATTTCCATGTTTACATGGTATAGTGAACATTCCCGGATCACTATACTTTTTAGGCAGTTTCTTTTGAAAAACGGCCGACACTCTTTCACTTACTTGGATTTTATGCTTGCCATTCAACTTGTGTTTCCTTTTAATTGTGCAAAGTTCTTTTAAAAACTTTGCAAACCTAGGAACACCTTTTATTAAATTGAGAAGAGGGATATTTACCTCACATTTGCTGAAGGTCTCATAGATGTCTTTGTCATTGTTGTATTTTCGATTATCCTTGAGAGCCTCCGGAAAAGGTGGCACCGGCTCATATGAGTCGAGCGGTGGGAACTTTCTTTGAGGTGTGATCTCCTCCTCTTTTTCCTCTTCATTTTGAGGGTTTGTGCTTGGCATTAAGATCTCCTCCTCATCTTCTCCCACATGGCTCTTTGCTTTTGCCTTAGCCATAACCAATTCTTTGCCACTTCTCAAAGTGACCGCATGAGCTTGTTGCCTTGGATTCGGCTCCGTTTGAGATGGGAGTTTTGCCGAATCCCTAGCTTCTAGCCTACTCACGGCATTTGAGATTTGGCTCATTTGGCTTTCCAAGTTGTGGATGCTAGACTTTGTTGTTTCTTGAAATTGGGCCACACTTTGTTGCATCGTAGTCATATTCATGGCTAGTACTCGGATCATGTCTTCGGTGGACATGCTTGAGTTCGATGTTTGGCCTTGTTGTTGATATTGTTGAGGAGGGTTTGATTTTTGAGGGGGTTGAGAGTTTCCGTACCTTAGATTTGGATGATCCCTCCATCCTGGATTGTAGGTGTTACCGTGAGGATCGTACCTCCTTTGGCCTTGGAACCCCAAAGCATTGACTTGCTCGGAGTTCTCCTCTTGTAAAGTTGGGCAAGAATCTGTGGGGTGCCCTTGTGTTGAACAGATGCCGCAGACCTTGACTTCTTGGGTTTTTGGATTTAAAAGGAAATCTTTAACCAAAGAAGTCAAGCCGGCTACTTGACTCTCCAACGAGTTGTTGGATTCTGCCGCCATGACTCTCTTTGTTGACCGTCGATCATAGTGTCTACAATTTTCGGCCAACTCCGAGATAAGATTCCTAGCTTGAGAAGGAGTTTTGTTGACTATCCCTCCTCCACATGCAGCATTGATCATCCGTCTATCATCATCGCAAAGACCATCATAAAAGTAAAGGATGAGGTCTTGCTCCGAGTAGCTGTGATACGGGCAGCTCGCACAGAGTTTCTTGAATCGTTCCCAGAATTCGTAAAACGATTCATCATCTTTTTGCTCCACATTGCTGATTTGTTTCTTTAGAGATGAGGAGATTGAGGCGGGATAATACCTTTCGAGGAAGCTCTTCTTCATGTCCGCCCAAGTGTCTATGCTTCCCGAGGGAAGATAGAATAGCCAATCTTTGGCGGTGTCTTTGAGGGAGAATGGGAAAGCCCTCAACTTAATTTGCTCCTCAGTAACACCGTTCGGGCACATGCTTGTGCAAACGATGTGGAACTCCGAAAGATGTTTATTGGGATCCTCTCCTCTTAGCCCGTGGAAGGATGGAAGTAGATGTATGAGTCCGGATTTTAACTCAAATGTAGCACCCGCATCAAGAGTTGGGAAGGTGATACATAAGGGTTGTTGGTTTAGATTGGGAGCTGTGAGCTCCCTCAGCGTTCTTGTTTCAAGAGCCATTGATATTGGCTCCTCGGACTCGCTAGATTGAGAACTAGCACTTGAGGATTCCCCCGAATCGGTACTTGAGAATTTACTTTTTAACCGCTCGAGAGCTTTTTCTATTTCGGGGTTTGTTTGGTAGGTGAGTTGGTTTATGGATCGGGTTTTTACCATATACTCAAACAAAGCTCAGCAAAAATAGAAAACTTTATATATAATTTTTTTGTTGATTTTTCTTGAAATAAAATAAAAAGAAAAATTAATTGCCTTTCCCCGGCAACGGCGCCAAATTTGACGAGCACTTTGTCACGGTGCGTCAAAATAAATTCAATACTAAACACTTATACGTAGTATAGCGTAGTAGAGTTCGTATCCACAAGGAAAGGAATGATTCTCTTTTTATGAAACTAGTAATTAAAAAGGGGGGTTTTGGTTTTGAGTGATTTAATTCAATTAAGAAACTAAGATGAACAACCTATATGTGTTTAATTCAAGAATAAAAGGGACTTGGCATTGCTACTTTCCACTTGTTGATATATTTTAGTCAATCCTTGTTATATCTATAACTTATCCCCTCTCGAATACTCAATCGAGGAGTATCTCCAATTCATCGAGGGTAGTTATTAACAACGACCGTTCATTAATAACCCTTACTATTAATCAAATATAGAACATCGCCGTATACCGATATAATAGTAGCATTCAATCTTTTTAACTCCTTGATGAAATCAATTGAGATTGATAACCTTAACACAACGATTTCGGTTTAACCAACAAAATTGATCCCTCTTAAGTTTATTAACCACGACCGTGCATTAATAAACCGAAGTTACTTACTTATGAAACCACCAACGATTAACCATTGGTTCGTTGATCGTTTCTAGTAGTAATTAATGTCGGAACGTTAACTAATCGTCACTTAGCAACCCTCCAACATTAATATAGAATGAGATTAAGGGAAGAATTAATAATCAAGAGAAGAAGTTAAGAAAATAACTCACAACTTTAATAATCAACAAGCTTCAAGAGCAAAACCAAGAATGGAAGTTTAGCTCCTCATTTGGAGACTAAACATAGCTAGAAAAATATAAAGAAATGATATTCTAAACTGAGCTAAAGAGTATGGAAGAAGGGATGATTTTTTGTGAAGAAAAAGTGTGCTATTTATAGGTGTTTTTCAACACCTTTGGCCGGGTACCCGACCGGGTTTAGTGCTTACCCGACCGGGTACCGGTCAAAATCAGATTATCTCCCACGTTTTTGTGTTTCAGCATGTTAAAATGTCCCGGGTCAAGTCAGACCCGATCGGGTCAAGTAGGGGACCCGACCGGGTTTGACTAAAAAATCAGTTATTCTTTATTCGGGCGAACCTTGGCACGTTCTGGTGTTCCGGGTCACATCCGACCCGACCGGGTGAAGTAGGGGACCCGACCGGGTCTAGCTATTTTTTTAAGGATCTGGTTCTCAACTCAGACTCGACAGGTGTAGTGCATGACCCGACCGGGTTAGCGCTCCTAGCCATTTTTATCTTCAGCTTTTCTCCTTTTCCTTGCTAAAAACACTATTACTATTCTACAACTATAAATGAAAGCAAAAACAATTACAAACAACATAAAACAAATGTTTACAAACTAACTAAAGAGGAAAGAAAATCCACACAAAGTTAATACAAGAACATACATTTATGCACTATAAACTAGTGCATATCAAGAATCCTTCTCCTAAAACAATTTCTTGCTTCTCTTTCTTTAAGCCGTTTCATTTTTCCTCTTCCCAACATTAACACCCTTTATTCCTTCCTTTCAACGGTCCGTTTCAGATTGAAAATAGCTAATTTCTCGCTTTATTTTATTTCTTTCACATAATAGCACTACTTTCTTAAGAAGATTTATCCGGTTCAAGTGTCAAATATTCTCAAGTGTCGAATATTTTCTTTAGAAGCACTACTTTCTTTCAGCCGCAATATTTTTTCAGATCAAATCTACTGTTCATGATTTTTGCTGACCTCATTCTCTTTCTCTGCTGCATTGCACTTTCCTCCACCATTCCATAATACAATTTTTTGATTTTTCAGATCTGACTCTTTTTCGTCTTTGCATCCGCCTTTTAGATGCTTCAATCAAAACCATTCAGATTGTTTGTGGACATCAGAGTTGCGTCCATATCCTCATTTCTCTCACGGTGAGTTCTGCCATTCTTAATTACCATGTATTTTAAAGAATATCTATGCTTTCTATGATAATATCTATGCTTTCTATGATAATCTCTATGCTTTCTGATTATTAAAGAATTTGTTCTGCTAATCAAGTTTATTGTTGTTTCTCTGCTCTTAAATTTCGATTCCAATTGAGAATACAAAATCAAAGTGAAAGATAAGGAGTTTCATGTGACTCTTAATCTCTTTTTCCAATCTGCTACTTCAACAAATTTTTGGATGATAAGCCTTGAAGGATTTTGTTTTTTAGTTTGTGAGTTTTGGATGATGAAGCTACTGTTCTCATAATTTAGTACCAAAGTGTTATACAAGTTATACAAATTAGATAGTATTTGCTTTTGGGTGGTTTAACCAAAGATCCTCATGCTTCTGTTATTATTTTCATCTCATAAGTAGTACGAAATTAACGAAAAACTTTCAAAAAGGACATAAATGCTTCTGCAAAAAAATCATTTCATATGCTACTTATTTCATAAGTAGTATAAGCATGAGTGACAATCTATACTGCTTGGCCAAATTCATTTCTTTGTTTTCTAAATACCTATTACAGAAAGAACTGCCAGTTAAGTCACATTAACTATATTAATAGATATTGTGTTGAGTGAATAAAATGAAGCAGTTCTATAATGAAGAAGTCATGATATAGTCTTATTGATTACGACATTTTTCGAATTTTAATTGCATGCTGCTGAGCATAGATACCCTGCTCCACATATAGGTAAGCATTGAGAAGAAAAAAGTGCAGATTCATTTTCCAGCTTTTAGTACTTACTAATGCACTATATGAAGTCCTGTTCTTTAGTTTTTTAGCCTTTAATTTCATTTCATTGTACAGAAATGACTTTTTATTCTAATCAAAAGATTATAATAGAAATGTTTTTTTTACAGAAGCATATGAATAACAGATTTTAGTGGATTCTCGAAAGCTGAAGTATAGTTCTCTAATAATGTGCCTCTGTTTTTGCTTATTTAGTGTAATTGTAAGCTATAAATTTGGTAAAAAACTTTGTAACACTTGATTTGTCATTGATTCATTTGTAGTCATTGATTTGATGTCAAAGATTTTAAATAAAACTGAAAGCTTTAAAAGAAAGCTACACTTTTGTGGTGTCCATGCTTCATGTTTTAAATTAAGGAGCTGAATACTTTTAGCCTTTTAGGTTCTATGGCTGAAAAAGACCTTTAAAAAAATTCAAATATGATTCCAAAGTAAGTTCCAAATATCCCAGTTCTAATAACGTTCAGGGAATAAGATTTGCAGTTAGCCTTAACCGACTCCAAAGAAATTTTAAATGCATGTATAAATAAATGTGTCTAGATAATTATTCTTGAATGTTTTCTAAGCTAATCTTTTCTGAATGCTTTGCTGCCAATTTTTCATATCTAATCTTTCTGGATTTCCCAACTTAGGAAGCTATCAAAACCAAGTGCAAATGCTCTTTACTCGCTCTCCAGAAAAGTCAAGAAGTAAGAGAATGTTTTCACCACTTTGGAGCAGACAACTCTGATATTGTCACATCCTTTGAAAGCTTCAATTTTTCTTATAAGCATGGTACAGCTGTAACTTCAAATTGCTATTCAGTTTAGCAATAGAGGTCTAAGGCCACTACAATTTTATGAGGTAGTATTTTTTAAGCAAGAAGAAAGTAACACTTTTTCTAAATTATTGATGATTACTATGCGACACCTTAGGTGAGTATATATTGTGATGTTATGAAAGTAAAACATTTGTATGTTTTCTCAAAAAAAAAAGTATTAGTGTGAGTAATTTTCTTGGCTCTTTTCTACTCCATATTTTTCAACACAATACCATGACCATTTTATGTGTTCCGATCCCATCCAGGAAGTAGGAATCCAAAGAGAAGATAAAAAATACTACGATACGGAGTAGAAAAAGTAAGGATAATTGAGTATTTTTAAAGGAAAACTTTTTAAAACAAAAAAAGAAATGTAGCAAACTTTTAAATAAACCCAAAAAAGGAAAATGTATCAACTTTAAAATACGGATGTAGTAGATGTTATCCAAATAGCTGCGATAATTCGTATCCCGTAATTGTTTAAAAGCTTGAAATAAGGGAATGCAAAGCTTTGATTATTATTAATTGTTGAAGGGATTGGTTTATCTAATATTCTCCTATATGTGACATTGTGACAACATTGGCTGATGCCAATGGAAAGTTTATGCTTGCTTCTCGAAAGTACAAGAGGCCCACTTGCAATGAAGGTTGTCATGAACATTATCGCTACAAGCAAATGATATCTCAAAAAGCCTTAGAGGTTATATAGGGCAATTGATCAAACAAAGTTATGTAAAAAGTGTATATTATAAACAAAAACAGTATTGATGGACAGTCTACCCGGGGTATATATCCGAAGGGTTATTACGGGGAATAACTTAGAGAGAAGTCAGAGCAAACAAGTAAGAGAGAGAGTGTATATTCGATATGTATTAAGCGTGGTTACAAATGGGGAAATGGGGTGCTATTTATAGTAGCAATAAATGCCGGGCAGGGACACGTGTCAAGCGCTCATTGGCCGAGGGGTCACCTCAACTGGTTGGCGCTGGCAGCCGCATGTGGCCGCATTTAATGCGGCTGTTGGACGGGACGTCTGTGCGGGGTACGGTGATCTGTACGCATGTGAGGCAGATATCTTGTCGAGTGAGATGCCTTCGGCTATAGAGCAGTAACCGAGGGCTCTCCCGCCCGATGGCACCCTGGTGCTGAGGGCTCACAGTGCCGAGGGCTGTTGTTTTCGCCATTTTCTCCCAGTTTCCTAATTTGCCTGAGAAACCCGCTCTGTGACAATTTGGAGCCTTCGGCCAGGGGTTGAGCCTTTGCTGTGACTGCTTGGTACTCTGGGCGCTGTGATTTGGGCCTGTTGGGCCTGTTGGGCCTTTGCTGGAGTAATAGGAGTCTGTGGGCCGGGGGTTCCCGGGCCATATACTCCATCAGGAGTCCCTCACTCCTTTTGCCGAAAGGTACTTGAGGGAAAAGGAGTAATTTGTGCTTGCCCTTTGATGTTGTCCTGTCGTGATCTCTGAAGTTGGTGAGGAGTTGTTGCTTTTATGTCCCTGCCGAAGGCAATCCCTCGGTTACCCACATGTCGGGACTTGAGGGCTTGCTTTGTTGTAATTTAATGATTTTCCCGAAGGGGTCCTCCAGTCCCCCACTCCTTGAGGCACTTGTAAAGTGGTGAAAAGGAGTAAAGCAGTTACGTTGCTGTTGTGGGCCGAAGGTTGACGCTTTTCGTTTCATTTTGGGGGGATGCCTCGTTAAAAACCTCATTAGGAAAAACCCTTTGGGAAAAAATCCTAATGAGGGAAAAAGAGTGCACCGAATTCCCCCAATGATGAATCGAAAATGTCAAACCTCGGTGAAAAATGGAGAATGACGGGAATGCCGAAGGCTCTCTCTTCTGAGGGCTCCTGTGTTGATTTGCCGAAGGCTTGTTGTTGATGTCCTGGTGGTGCCGAAGGGGAGCCCCTCAATCCAGGGATCGAGGGCCTGCCAGATGAGGGCAGCAGTGAAGTTGTTACCGGGGGGTCCACTGTTTGTTGATGAGTTGGTGATGAAGATACCCGAGGGCTCCCATTACCTGTGTGCCATGGGCCCTCCGTCAATGAGGCACTCCCCGGGGGTACCCGGTTTTGCAGTGCTGAGGGGGAAACCCCGAGGGGTGCCCCTGATATGCAGCCCTGGGGATCTGAAGGAGTGATCCCGAAGGCGTGTGTAATGTGCCGTGTGGGGCACAACCCGGGGGCACTTCTGGGTGAGTGCACCCGGAGGCAATCCTTGATGAAGTGGAGTGAAGTAGAAAACCCGGGGGCTTCCAGAATATAGCCGTTGGAAATATAGCCGTTGGGGGGATGGCACACGTGGCGTGTGATGGCTGGCTGTTCGTGGGCGGCGTCACCGGTTGGGTGAAACGACGGTGCGTAATGATGGCGTCCATCCGGAGGCCCGGAATCCAGGCCCAAGCCCGGATTCTATCGCCTATAAATACCCCAAGGCCAGGCATTCCTCCGTGTGCGAAAAACCTGTTAGCGAAGCTCTGCCAATTTTTCTAGAGAGAGAAACAGCAGCCTTCGGTCCTAACTCAGCTTTCGAGGTCAGTGCTCCCTGCCTTTCTCCTTCTAGCATAGCTGTACTGTGCCCTTAGTTTAGGAGATAGAAAAGTTAGGATACACTACCGTCTACGAACCCTCGAACTAGGGTGCGAATGTCGTCCCAGAGTGACTCTCAGGACATCTCGAGGACGCCCTCGATGGAGGACGAAGGCATCTCCGATGTGGAGTCAAGCAGTGGTCAGCCCTCGGATTGTGGTGATGCAGCCCTCGCCACTGAGGTGCAGAAGGATCTGACGGCTGAGGCCGAGGCGGAGGAATTCGAGCGAACTGCCGAGGATGAAGAGTTGGCCCTCGCCGTCTAAGTTGCTGAAGAGGAGGAGGAGAAGGAGAGGGCGAAGGTCACTGTGGCCGTCCTTCCCCCTCGGGGTGCTGGTGAGGCCAGTACCTCCCGGCCGCTGAACGCAGTTCCCATCCGGGTGGCCCCCGGGATGAAGAAGAGAAAGACGAAGGCCGCCCCTCAGAAGAAAGCAAAGACCGTCGATCAGGGGGGGCCAGTTGATCTACCGGAGGGTTACTCCTTCCTGGACACCGCTGCTCTGGAGATCAAGTCCCAAGCTGACAGGGCGGACATCTACATCACCCAATTGCATGTAGGGCCCTCGGCCGTGGTAGTCGAGCCAGGTCCTGATGACGTGCTGTCGCGGCCCCCCGAGGGATGTATAGCCGTGCACGTGCTTTCGGTCTCAATGGGCCTCCGGTTCCCTCTCCATCCGTTCCTCCGGGAATACCTGAGGTACACCGGCCTGGCCCCCTGCCAACTGACTCCCAACAGCCACTCGTACATAACGGGGTTTGTGAACCTGTGCAAACTCCGGAAGGTTACACCGAGCCTGGAGTTATTCTTCCAAAGCTTCAACCTATGCCGGGGGGGACATACAAATGCCGAGGGCTATGCGAACTTACAGCAGATAGCCCAGTTCAAGCTGTTCACTGAGGCCCCTTCTTCCAACAAGGGGAGGAGAGAGCGATGGTGCTACATCAGACTGGCCGACAGCCCGTTCCCGAGGGAGTTGCGGAATCGCTTTCGGCGCCATGTGAAGGCCAAGAGTGCCGCCCTCGAGAAGGATGGCCTGAAGATTGCAAAGATTCCCGAGGGTCGGGAAAAGAACGTAACCATCAAGGAGTGCACCCTCGAGGAGGACCTGTATGCCCTCGGATTCCTGAGGTATCGGTTCATTGGGGAGACCGATGAGAAATATCCCCTCTACGATAAAGCCTTCGTGGGAGCAGGAGGTAGTGGCCGGGGGCTTTACATTTTCGCACTTAGAGATTTTTTGTTATGTTTGTTGTCATGTGTTTGACCCCTCGGTTCTAACCTTTCAACTTGTCGCTGTCGTTCTTTGCAGGTAGCAGGATGAATGCCAACGCCTTGTTCGCGAAGAGGAAGGGCAAGACCCAGCAAAAGGAGAAGGGGCCCTCGGGCCCGAAGCCAGTTGACGCGCTTTTCCCGAAGGCCATAGAGCCTTCCGCCGGGGACGCCCATGCTGCTGTGGGGACCGGGGGGTCGAAGGCCGAGGCGGCCGCTAAGAAGAAGAGGAGCGACAAGGGGGTGGAGCCCCCCACCAAGAAGCAGAAAGGCGCCGTGGGTGCTGTCGGGGAGGCGGCCCCCCTCATAGTTATTGACGACATGCCCGCTTTTGATGGGCCTCTGGCCTCGGTCCCCCCGAAGGATCCGGTGAATCCCCCCCGGGCGGAATCACCCCGGGAGATCCGTCAGCTCTCCTTTGCCCCCGGCGCCTCGTTGATGCACGGCACTGCCGAGCCGAAGGCCTTCCTGCGGGGCATCACCTCGAAGATGGACAGGGAAGTCTTCGAGACCTACGATGACGATGCCCTCGAGAACAGGATCCTCCGGTCCTCGCTCACTGTAAGTATCCACTTCTTATTTCCTTATCTTGTCAGTTTAGTCTTATTTTTTCCGGGGAACAATCTCACTCCTTTGATCATTGTTTGCAGGCCTGCATAGCCCTCGGGGAACAGGCCCGGAGGCGCGAGGAAAGGCGTCTTCACGAGGCCGCCCAGGATAAGAAGGTGGAGGGGCTGATCCGCAAGAACTCCGAGGCGGTGAAGCATGCTGCCCAGCTGGAGGAGGCCCTTCGGGAGGCGAAGGCGGCGGCGGAGAAGGCCAAGGCTGATGGCATAGCCGAAGGCAAGGCAGAGGCCGAGAGGGCTGCTGCCGAGGCGGCGAAGAAAGCCGCCGATGAAGCCCAAACGGCTAAGGAGAGAGCTGCGGCCGAGGCTCGAGGGGAGGCAGTCGCGGAGTTCTTTGCTGAGGGCTGGAGGGCCGAGGGCCACAAGGAGTGGGTTGCCTCCGTGGTGGCAGCCTCGGTGGACGCTTGGGTAGAAGGCCCCGGGGTTGACTGGCTGACCGATAGGGGCGACGCCTACTATCAGGGGGGTGAGTTCTTTACCCAGCACCTGATATACCGGAGGCTCGCTAGGCACTTCGGCGTATCCCTCGAACAATTTGACCCCTCGATATATGGCCTCCCTCCGTTGCAACCAGATGTCAGAGTTCCCCTCCCCCCGGGTGAAGAGCGGCCAACAATCTATGATTCTGTGATGATGGGGGGTGACGGGGTTGGAGTCGTCGGGGGTGATGCTGCCGGAGAAGAAGTCTCCTCCAAGGCTGTCGTGGAAGATGCCCCCGGTGACAACGAGGCTGAAGCCGCCGAGAAGATTATTACTTAGTCAATTTTCAGAAAAGCCTTGTAATGAAACTTTTGTTACCCCTCGGCTTTGGCCATACTCTGTAATGATCACATTGACTATTTTTGTGTTGTAATTGAATGATTGCCTTCGGGCTTGGTGTATATGACATGCTTCCTTCTGATCTGTTCTTTGTCGAATGTATGCCTTCGTCTTGCTTTGGATGTATGCCTTCGGTATTTTTGAATGTATGTCTAGGACTTAGAATACTATCTGATTGTAGCTAGCCCTTAGGAGCCTTCGGTAGTTGGGCACCCTCTGCTGGATATGCAACCGATGGTTCGGCAGCAATTAGGACTTGGAAAATTTTTCTAAGTGTAGCACACATTAGGGCCTTCGGGTGTTGGCAGTAATCCATGTCCTAGGACTTAGAAAAATTTCTAAATGTAGATTCCCCCTTGAGAGCCTTCGGGATACGGCGCCCATTCCTGATGTGTGAATGTTGGACCGAGGGCCCAACGCACAGGACTTAGAGATTTTTGCAAGTGTAGTATGCCATGTAGCCTTCGGCTACTGTGGAACCCCACCTGTAATATTGAATAGGCCGGGGGCTAATTCTTTTAGGACTTAGAAGATTTTCTTGAGTGTTGATTCCTTGTGAACTGTAGCCCTCGATTGATAGGTAGCCTTCGGCAATTAGGTCCCTTGAGATGAGGGTGAAATATGTAGGACTTAGAAAATCTTCTAAGTGTAGAGTTTCCCTTGGGAGCCTTCGGGAGATGGCATCCCTTCATGATATATGAGTAGTTGACCGGGGGGGGGGGGGGAATATGTAGGACTTAGAAAATCTTCTAAGTGTAGAGTTTCCCTTGGGAGCCTTCGGGAGATGGCATTCCTTCATGATATATGAGTAGTTGACTGGGGGGAAATATGTAGGATTTAGAAAATCTTCTAAGTGTAGATTTTCCCTTGGGAGCCTTCGGGAGATGGCGTCCCTTCATGATGTATGAGTAGGTGACCGGGGAAAAACATGTAGGACTTAGAAAATATTCTAAGTGTGGATTTTCCCTTGGGAGCCTTCGGGAGATGGCATCCCTCCTTGATGTATGAGTAGTTGACCGGGGTGCCTTCGGGTGATAGATGCCCTCTGATTCCACATCACTTTGCGAGATGCCCGGGGGTTACTCATTTAGGACAGAATACCCCTGTTTTTTAAGTGTTGTTGTATTGCATGGCCTTCGGCCACCATATTCCCTTGGCTGTAATATTGATTCGGCCGGGGGCCCAATCTTTAGGACTTAGAATTTTTTCAAGTGTTGCTTCCCTGTGTAGCCTTCGGGTGCCCGGGGGCTGCTCCTTCAGGACTTAGAATTTTTCTAAGCATAAATTGATGTTGAATCTGTTGTTGTGAAGAAAGCCAATGAGGAGTGTGTGCCCTCGGCGTACACTTTAAACGTTGTAGAATTTGACCCTTGTCATGGGGAAAAGGGGCCCTCGGTATTTGTGCATAACAGATGCCTTCGGTGTCTGTTTGAAGTACCGTTTGGTGGACCTTGGATAGTCCAGTCCCTTTGTATTGTTGAAGCCTTTGGTGTTTTTGTGACCGGAGGTGACCAGGTAGTGGACTTAGCCGTTTCCTGATGATATTTCTTTGAGTAGTATCCTTCGGGAAATAGGAGTCTTCAATTACCGGAGGTGTTCCCGTGGGGAGCCCTCGGCATGTTGTGATATCGTTGGAGTGTACTCTTTGATTTCTCGCTGAGTCTACTCCCCTTCACCCCCTTTTTTTTTTTTTTTTTTTGGTTGGTGGTGAAGGGAAGGCATCAAGAAACTTGGTTTCTTGGTAAGGCTGGGCCTATTAGGAGACCATCAGAATACACCAATGGCTCTCCTCCCTCGGGTTAACCTTCCGAGCGCCGAGGGGATCGAGGGACGTTTCCTGGGCACAAGATATGGTGGTCCGTAACCTGCCTCCCCTTGGGGGATGGCGCGGAAAGCGCCTCATTTTTGAAAGTCGTCCCCTCGGCGCTAGACATAGTCTGTGGCCTGCCACACCCTTGGGGCGGTGGCGCGGGGAGCGTTTCGGTTTGGAAGTCGAATCCTGGGCATTTCTCATACCTGCCATACCCTGGGGGTAATGACGCGGATAGCGTTCCGTTTTTGAAAGTCGAATCCTGGGCATTTCTCATGCCTGTCATACCCTGGGGGTAGTGACGCGGAAAGCGTTTCAAGGAAGGGTTTTCATTTGCACACTAGTTGCAAATGGCCGGGGGCACTACGTGCCGCCGGCACCGATGGTGGCGCCTTCGGTATATGCGTCCTCGTGGGGTACGGCTTTTAGAAACAACACTTGGTGTTAGTTTTGATGTGTAGCCCTAGGTACTTAGTACCGAGGGGTCTTCTGTAGGAACACTAGATGTTCTCTTTTGTCGTAGTTGATGGAGGTGTCTACCCTCGGTACTTGGTACCGAAGGGTCTTCAAATAAAACACTTGGTGTTTCCCAACAGATGTTTGGAAGTTGATAAGAGAGCATATCCCTGGCACTGGGTGCCGAGGGGTCTTCTTTGATGATGTTTGATGATGGAGGTATGCCCTCGGCACTGGGTGCCGAAGGGTCTTCTGTAGGAACACTTGGTGTTCTAATCTTTTCTTTTTTGATGTTGAAGGTGGGGAAGTACCCTCGGCACTGGGTGCCGAGGGGTCTTGACTGAAAACACGTGGTGTTTCTACTGTTTGTTGTAGGTGTTGATGGTGTCCGCCCTCGGCACTGGGTACCGGAGGGGGTTCTTCTTGTGGTGAGGCCTGGGGCCTGTAGTCAGTATGAGGGCTTGATGTCTTGAATGTACCTTCATTCTTCGAAATTGGAGGCCTCGGGCCTTAGGATAGTACATTTACTAGTTATGAGGGCTTGGCCGCTCTTACATTATTGATAAAATTTAACTAAATGGTGTACATTCCAGTGCCTAAGAACTTCTTTCCCATTGGGGCGTTTGAGCTTGTAGGTCCCGGGTTTGATGATGGCTGCTATGATGTAGGGGCCTTCGAATTTTGGTGCCATTTTTCCTCCCTCGGTTGGTTGGCTGGCTTCCCTCCTCCGGAGGACATAGTCCCCCACTTGAAATTCTCGGGTGCGAACTTTGGCGTCGATGTAGCTTTTAACTTGCCTTCGGTAGTTTTCTGCCCGGATGAAGGCCTGCTCCCGGCGTTCTGAAATGAGGTGGAGGTCGAGGGCCATGTTGCTGTCGTTGATTTCGGGGTCATATTGGATCACCCTCCGGGTGGGAAGGGTGACTTCCGTAGGAGCTTTGGCTTTAAAACCGTAGCAGAGGGAGAAGGGTGTTTCACCTGTTGCTCGCCGAGGGGTGGTGCGGTAGGCCCAAAGGATATTGTGGAGTTCTTCTACCCAGCCACCGCCCTCGGCCTCCAGCTTCTTTTTGAGGCCCTCGAGCAAGGTCCGGTTGGCATTCTCTACCTGCCCGTTGCCTTGAGGGTAGGCAACGGAGGAGAAGGTGTGTTTGATGCCCCATGCCTCCAGAAGGGCACAGAAGGGGGCTGCCTCAAATTGTGTCCCATTGTCGGAGATGATCTGCTGGGGGACGCCAAACCTCGTGAGGATGTTCTTGAGGACGAAGTGACGGCACTTCGCCTCTGTGATGCTGGCGAGGGGTTCAGCCTCCACCCACTTGGTAAAGTAGTCGACGGCCACGATGATGTACCTGTTGTTGGAGGTACCCCTCGGCAGAGGGCCCACAAGGTCTATCCCCCATCGAGAAAATGGGACAGAGGTGCTGATGGGGGCATAGTTGACCGCTGGCCCGCCGGGGGCTTTTTGGAAATGTTGACATGCGGTGCACCTCCGGGCAAGGTCAGCACAGTCCCTGGCCATGGTTGGCCAGAAGTAGCCCTGGAAAATGAGCCTTCGGGACATGGAGAAGGGTCCCTGGTGAGCTGAGCAAGTGCCACTGTGTACTTCCTCCATTGCGACCTCGGCTTCATCTGGATGAAGGCACCGAAGTAGCGTACCATTGTAAGATCGTTTGTAGAGCCTCCCATCTTCGATGGTGTAGCTAGGAGCCCTCAGCTTTGCCAGTTTAGCGCGGGCCTCATTCTCGGGTAGCTGCCCTGTGGAGATGAAGGCGGTGATATCTGAGATCCAATCCTCCTGTCGTTGTTGTATGTTCATAACGGGGCTCGCATGGATGCTTGAGAGGCTGAGTTCCTCGATTTTGGCAATTTTGGAGATGTGCTCGGGGGAGTCAGCCGAGAGCTTAGACAATATGTCGGCCTCGGAGTTCTGAGCCCTCGGTATTTGAGTAAGAGAGTGTGCCTCAAATACCTTAAGCAACTCCTTGGCCGCTTCCTTGTACTGTTTCATTCTCCCCTCCTTGGCCTCATATTCTTCGGAGATTTGGCCAACGACCAACTTGGAGTCGCATTTGATGTGGATCTGCCGAGCCCTCATGTTGGCAGCCAGCCGGAGGCCACATAGGAGGGCCTCATATTCGGCCTCATTGTTGGAGACCTTGAAGGAGAAGCGGATTGCATAGTAAGCCCTGAAGCCCTCGGGAGTAATGAGGACTACCCCTCCTCCGCATGCTTTGGTCGCGGAGGAGCCGTCAGTGTAGAGGGTCCACCAGTCGTCCGAGGTAGCCGAGGGCTCCCCGTCCGTGGCTGCCCTTGCGGTACATTCCGTCACAAAGTCCGCTAGGGCTTGGCCCTTGATGGCAGGCCTTGGACGGATGTCAATGTTGTACTGGCTCAAGAAGATAGCCCATTTAACCATGCAGGAGGAGCTGGTGGGGCTCCTCATGAGGGCGCCGAGGGGTTGATGAGTGAGGACCTGAACTGGGTGAGCCTGAAAGTAGTGGCCCAACTTCTTGACAGTCCAAACGATGGCCAACACCGTTTTTTCCACAGGGGAGTACCTGAGCTCGGCCTCCCTTAGGGTCTTGCTAACGTAGAAGATGGCATGTTGGATGCCGTCTTCCTCCCGGATGAGCACAGAGCTGATGGCCGCCGGGCTGACCCCAAGGTAGAGGTAGAGGGTCTCCCCTACCTTGGGTTTGGAGAGCACAGGAGGTGAAGATAGATATCTTTTGAGCTCGTCGAAAGCCTCCTGGCATTCCGGAGTCCATAGAAAGCCAGCCGTCTTCCTCATGATCTGGAAGAAGGGTAGAGATTTCTCCGCCGATTTAGA